TTCCAACCCCACGTCTTTCTCCCTTTTATTTACTAGCTTACGATGGTTAGTTTTAGGGCATGTTTCAATTAGCATCCTTATGCTTCGCATGTTTGCATTCATTCATCTGTCTTGCGTTCACCGGGCTTGGCACATCATACTAACTACATTGTATTTCAATTCCGAGTTAAATACATGTATGCTTCATATGCTTGTAGTGTAAATCATGTTTACTAGCTTGAAATGCATGATGTTTTGGCCCTCTATTCTAGCATATTTTGGCCATGATCCAAACAGATTTTGTTCATATTTTGGGCTGCCTTAGCTCTGTTTTGAGGCCTCTTGGTCGAATGATGCTTGCCATGCATGCTTGTAGTGTAATAGCCTTACCTAGCTTTGAGTTTTTGAGGTCCTTTGCATGCTTAACTTGAGGTATTTGCATGTTTTGGCATTATGAGGAATGTTATTTCAGAGCTTATTTCTTGGTCATATTCTCATGTTTGTCACTCTTTCAATGTGCTTGAGAGTTGCATCATTATACCCTATTTGTGAGCCATTGCAGGAGCTTCATTTTTGTGCCTTTCAAGCCATCATCTTAGTTCACTTTTGCTCCTATTCTGGCCTGCATAGGGTCTGTTTGGAGTTGGTTTGTCGTTTTGAGCATTGCCTTGCATGCCTATAGTGTAATACACTTCACTAGTTTCAGTGCTTGAGCTATTTAACATGCATTGTGTGAGTTGTTTACATCATTTGGAGACATTTTGTATGTCATTTCAGAGTTGGAACATGTGTCCTTGCACTCCATATTTCATCATTTTCAATGCATTTGGAAAGTTGTGTTTTATGCCTTAGGCTTAGGGCCATTACATTGGGCATGTTTGCATGAGTTTTAGAGCCTTGTTTTCATCATCTTTGGCCACTGATTTGGGTGTGGCTGAGGCCCATCCATTTTGGTTTAAGTCCATTTTGCATCGAGTATGCCATTGTAGTTCATAGCATTGAGTACGCCACGTTGTCGCATGATTGATCATTGCATTGTGCATGCCTTGTTCATCTCATTGTGTATATTAGTGTCATGAGCATTGTGCATGCTAGTGTCATGAGCATTGTGCATGCCATGTAACTTATAGTATTGTGTATGCTAGTTACATGTTTGCATGTTATCCCTTGCATGTTTGCACCACTTAGTTGCATTGCATTAGGATTGCATGCTAGAGTTGCATTTGTGCATGCCATGTTTGTTGTATTGTGTTTGGGATAGGAGTTAGTCTGAACACGGGAAATGAGGGACGTCTCATACTCAAAGTGACGAAACGTGCCTCGATTCCCGGTCGCCGACATTCTTGACTACCCATGATAGAGTTGTTGGCTTTAATTGCTTGTATGTGCATTCATTTCACATTGAGTCATGCAATTCGGCTCCTCGGCCATCATGCATCGAAATGCATGATTGATGGCCCGAGGGTCGAGGACTACACTCCCTTGAGCTTATGCAATGATGGGGAGAGTGGTCGTGCACACATGTGTTGACATGTGTTGCAAATACTTTGTCGTGCCTCTCGCTTTCCCATTATTGCAGAAAACCAGAAACCAAGAGAGGAAACTGGTCGGCCGACCAGATTTACTGGCAGGCCGACCATTTTTTTTGGTTTCCACCACAAAAGGTGGTCGGTAGCTGCTCTCCCACGCCTATAAGCTGGTCGGCAGCCTTCCCACAGATTCCCAGGGTGGAGTTTCATCTCTCTGGAGCTTTGTGCGAGTTTCTGAGATCAGTTGCAAACAAAAGCGAGTTGGGGCGTCGCGTGGGATTTTCGAACAAGACAATTCAAGCATGCATGCGTCCTTTGTCATTCAAAGCAGAGCTAAGGCAACCCACATTCGTTTAGTTTGTATGCTCATTTAGATTGCTTACTTAGTTAATGTTGTGTAATGATTAGCTGTAGCTTATTATTCATTTCGTTGTGTAATAACTAGTTTAATTAGATTATCTTAGGTTAGCTAGTCGGTTTTGTATTATTTATTCAGACCCTCCGTCGAGAGGGCAAATTTTGTAATAAGTGCACGTGTGTGTGCTGCATGTCTTCCAACCCCACGTCTTTCTCCTTTTTATTTACCAGCTTACGATGGTTAGTTTTAGGGCATGTTTCAATTAGCAACCTTATGCTTCGCATGTTTGCATTCATTCATCTGTCTTGCATGCACCGGGCTGGGCTCATCATACTAACTGCATTGTATTTCAATTCCGAGTTGAATACATGTTATCTGTAGCATCTTATATGCCATCTTAGAATAGCCGAGCCTATCTTAGTTTCATTTCGCATGTGTTGCATTAGCCATCTTAACATGAACTAGGATCATGCATTGATTACTAACTAGTTTCTGTTTTGGCTTGGAGTACTCGGTGAGTGTTTATGCTTTAACATCCTTACATGTGTGTGAGTGACTGCCATGATAGCATGCTTGCCATGAGGCTAACTGCTTATGTGATATACCTGCCTGAATGCCTGTGGGTGAAGGTTGGATTATTTAAATTGGAACAATTCATCGATTGCGAGTTTTAAGCCCACTTGAGAGTGGCAAATCACCATGTTTTCTAAGCCCACTTGAGGGTGGCAAAATCCACATTTTAGCCTACTTGCGAGTAGCAAACAATTTTCAAAACAAACATGAAATACTTTTTTCCAATTCAGGCGACCCAGTCTATACTTGTATGCTGTGCGCATCACATAGTAATTCTAGGCTAATAAACCAGAGTAAGAGCACATATGTTTTCAAAAATAAGATGCAACTTTGGTGATGATGGACACGTGGCCTTAGGCACGAGTCAGGGTTTCCTAAATTCCCCTAAAATAAAATATTTAGGTGGCGACTCTGTATCTGGCAAAGCAGTTCATGTTTGGTACTTCTTTTTAAAAATTAGTTTTTCAAAACGATTTGCTGGATTTGGACTCTTTGATGATTTATCAACCTTGTATTGCACTTTGCGAGATCAGATTAAGAACCGTGACATTGAGTCCGAACTGTAGTAAGCCTAATGAACAAAATGGGATTTTCCCGGGATGTTCGAGGACGTCTACAACTCCACATTGCTAGAGCCACAATTGCTATGTGGAACAAAGGTTCCAAATCTTTAGAAGACATCCTCGGGTCTCAACAGATGGGGTGTGACAAAAGTGGGCTAGGCTATAGTGCGACAGCTCACAAGGGGCAGGCCTCTACTTCACATGACCTGAAGACTCAAGCAAAGGGAAAGTTGAAGGTAAACCAGGGTGAACCCTCTCTTCATCTACCTAAAGGGGGTAAGATTAACAAAAGGGAGGTAAAACCTGTTTTTATTTGTCATCACTGTGGTAGGTATGGCCACATTCGTCCCTATTGCTTTGAATTGTTTGGTAAGGTGTCTCAAAAGGGTAGAAATTCGAATACTTTTTGGGTTAGGAGACAACCTTACATGTCTAGGTAGAATACCAAGATTCTTGAGGGTGTTCACAATGCCAAGACATTTACCAAGACCAAAAAGATTTGGGTGAGAAAAGATGATTTGACTTGTTTCGTTGTTCACACTGCTCTAAAAGCACGTGACTCACACATGTGGTATCTTGATAGTGGGTGCTCTCGTCATATGTCCGGTAACAA